GCCTAGCCTCACTTTCAGAAAGATGTAAATCTGTCAGAATACATTTAAATGTTGAGGTTAAACTTACATTTAAACACATTTTTCTAGGGCTTGAATATTTTTAAGTGCTTAAACACTGTTGAAAAAAGATTTTTAGAATGATTCTTAGAATGGCCTCATAACTATTTAGTTTTGCTTTTTGATTTAAAACCCCCAAATTAACAGTCTCTTAAAACTAGAATAAAGATGTATACCCATAACAAGTTAGTGTTAATTACACTTACAAAATACAGCAGTTCAGTCTTCTGATAAATCATTTCTATGACCAAAATCTAACATATTACATGCTAACCAATTTGCAGGGTAAACTCTTCTGTTTGCCGCTTTGTTTTCTGCCTCCATGCCTATTTTGCTATGCAAAAGCTTTATGTCAATTTACTTTTTGAGCCGTTTAAGACCAAACCAAATTATTCCTTCAGCACATTTTAAACAATCCCTTAAAGACCGCTTTTTCTTGGCTATGTTTCCAATCTTGGCTTATCACTATAATATTTCATGCTCCATGCTTCTGAAAAAATTCAATATTCAAGAACAAAGTAATCCAGAGCTTTACTTCATTTCAGGCTTTTTATGTCCTAGGGCTGTCCCAACTCAATGACCCAGTTTTTATTGTGTCACATCTCACTGTCTGTTGCTGACTGCGACCAGCTTGCCTAATCCTTTTCCCGTCCCTTATCAGTTTTCCCTTAATTCAAAAATCTTTTTTTTTTTTTTATTCTTTCCAGTTCTCCTTTCACAGCTTTTAGATTTATTTTTCTTTCTCTTGAGACTCAGTGTTCCTGTGGTAACTACTCAGAAATACAAAGACAAATGGGTAACTAAAGTCCACAAATCTGTCCTTGTCAAAATTTTCATTGTACTATTTCTAGAATTGCGCGTGGTGAATAGTAGAAAGTGGATGTTATAATTTGGCAATATGCCCTTAAAAATGTCCATACTGTAGGACCCAGCAATTTCACTTCCAGGAATCTGGCTTATTAATTAAAAGGAATCATCTAAGATATGGAAAAAGCTATATGCATGAGCTGTTCATTACAATGTTATGTATAAAAGAAAAAGGAAATAACACAAATATCTAATGATAGGAGAGAAGTTAAATAAATTATGGCCCATCTACTTGATGAAATAACACACAATCATTTAAGATGATGATTGTGTCACTATGTAGAAACATGGGTAAATACTTTCAGTGTTTTCAGAAAAGCAGGGTGCACAACTGTAAGTGCTTATGATCACAATTGTGTTTTTAAAAAACTATTTGCAAAGTAAAAACATCAAAGAAACATGACATTTGCGAATAGTTGTTATTTTAAGGTGGTGGAATTATAGATGATTTTTCTTTACTCTCAAAATCTTGTGATCCTAGTCCTTTCGAGTTTTTTTTTTTTTTTTTGAGATGGAGTCTCACTCTGTCACCCAGGCTGGAGTACAGTGGCACGATCTCAGCTGACTGCAAGCTCCGCCTCCTGAGTTCACGCCATTCTACTGCCTCAGCCTCCGGAGTAGCTGGGACTACAGACACCCGCCACCATACCCGGCTAATTTTTTGTATTTTTAGTAGAGACGGGGTTTCACTGTGTTAGCCAGGATGGCCTCAATCTCCTGACCTTGTGATTTGCCCGCCTCGGCCTCCCAAAGTGCTGGGATTACAGGCGTGAGCCACTGCGCCCGACCGAGTTTTTAAAAACTATAATCTTAATTCAAGTAAATTAATCATTAGGTAGGTTATGTCAAATAAAACTTAGTTTAGATAGAGCTCTATTTAAGTCTAATAATAATCTAATGGCTGGGTGTGGTGGCTCACGCCTGTAATCCCAGCACCTTGGGAGGCTGAGGCGGAATGATTGCTTGAGGCTAGGAGTTCACGACCAGCCTAGGCAACATAGCGGGGCATGGTGACCTGTGCCTATAGTCCTAGCTACTTGGATGGCTGAGGTGAGATCACTTGTGCCCAGGAGTTGGAGGCTGCAGTGAGCTATGATTGTGCCACTGCACTCCAGCCTGGGTGACAGAGCAAGACCCTGTCTCAAAAGACAACAACAAAATAATAATCTAATAACTGTGGGTGTGGGGGAGATAAGAAAGGCAATATTTCATTTTGTTTACCCTTATAGGTCATCTCTGAAAAGACGAATTGGAAAAAAAACCCTCCTAATATCTGTTTTAAAATACAAAATTATCTTTAAAACACAATAGTAGGTTCTATTCAAGTTTATTTTATTGCCACTGACTTTATCCAGGCCAGCTTGTTCTTGTCTAACTTACTTAATCACATTCCTCCTGGTATCTCTGCCTCTGGTCCAACCCTTTCAATCCATTTTTCACATTGTCTTCAAAGAGATCTTTCTGAAACCTAATTCTGTTTGTGATACTCCACTGATTAAACCGTTCAGGGATTCAGAATAGAGTTCTGAAAAATTAAAGACAGAATATATTCAAAGCTTTACCCAGGCTTCCTAGCACCTTCCAAGCTTCTCTGCCTTATTCTGTACCATTTCTTCTCATGCAGCGTTTCCACTAGCCTCAACAAACTAGTTGTAGTAGTTGAAACAGAACTCACAGTCACTATTTTTTGTTTCTTAACACTGAACTTAATACGCTCTCATTCTTTAAATCTCAAGTGTCACTTTCTTTGGGAAGCCTTTCCAGATTCGTCATTCATTTAGATGTCTCTTCTCTGTAATCCTACAGGGCCCCACCACCCTGTGCTATCACTGATTTGCTTATCTGCCTTTACTACCAGACAGTGAACTTCTTGTTTGCATAGACAAGTGGGATTGAGTGTGTATTCGTTTAACCTGAATACCACCTATCCCCCCTCAGACAATGTGGAGCATGGTGAATACTAAATGGTGTTGGTGTAGGGCTAATGTGCTAATCCTGGGATACTAAGTGCTAGGAACACAGAGGGAAGATGTACTGGAAGCCAAGGGCCTGTTACCGGTCAGGTACTTAGCAGGTAGAAACTCATTCAATGCATTTCCCTGATAAAGTTATGCTTTTTTTACTTTGTCTTAAGGTTGTACAAATGTTTTACCTCTCACATCATATCCCTGAGAACTAGGAGCTTGTCTTGTCTATGAACTTTTGACTATTCCTTATATATACTAGTCATTCAAGTGTATGTTAAAGTAATACATTTTGATGTTTTAAAATAATTTTGATTCAGGTTAGGCTTGGTAGCTCACGCCTGTAATCCCAGCACTTTGGGAGGCCGAGGCGGATGGATCACTTGAGGTCAGGAATTCAAAACCAGCCTGGCCAACATGGTAAAACCCTGTCTCTACTAAAAATACAAAAAAATTAGCCAGGCATGGTGGCAGGTGCCTGTAATCCCAGCTACTCAGGAGGCTGAGGCAGGAGGATCACTTGAACCCAGGAGGTAGAGGTTGCAGTGAGCCAAGATCGTGCCACTGCACTCCAGCCTGGGTGACAGAGCAAAACTCCATCTCAAAAAAAAGAAGAATAAATAAATAAAAATAAAATAATTTTGATTTATAGAAAAAATATGTAAAGGACAAAATATTTGTGAAGTTCAACATTTTAAACAAAAATTTTTAGAACAGTGTTGTAAAGAGAGAAGGATAAAATATAAATTAAGGATAGATAAACATATTCAGATAAAATTAAAGACTACCTAATCCCCAAATGTGCTGACATGTAAATATCTTCTCTACCTTGATTTTCACATACTTATATAGGGAACCAGGTATACTCCAATAGAAAATATTGGTTCAGCCTGACCCAAAAAGTCATGGTTTTACTGTTCAGATGGAAAACAAACAAATGACTTGGTCATGGTTTCAAATTACTATCTTTTTTTTCCCCCACTGTTACTATATCTGCATTTTAAACAATATGTTTATTACAGCAAAATTACTTGAAAATTTTGATAAATCAATTTTCTCAAATTTTTTACAGTTAAAAAATTTTTTTATGATTATGACTGACATTTTGTTATTAATCTCTTAAAGTTTAAATGTACCAGAAGTTCTGCTATTTAAAATAAAACTCTGGAAACAATCTTGAAATAGAAAAGTCTCCATCATCCCCTAATTTATCTGCTTTGTAGATTTAATTTTGTTTTATATTTTCTTATAGAATCACCTACCTATACCTACCCAGATACCTACCTAGTCCTATCTGGGAAACAAATGCAAATGAATATGTTTTAGAAAACTATTCAAACAGAATTCTATTTTAAATTCCAAATTATTAAGAGTATAACTAGTGACTACTTTGGCATGAGAAAGATTAACTAGCCACTGCATGGAGGGAGAAATATTTGGCTGAACTTTATATATAATCATAAAGAGCAGAAATAATAAAATTAGCATAGTTTGGTCAGGAAGAATCAAGAATGAGTGGGAAGTAAAGATTTTTTGAAGTTTAGCAAAACAAGAATTAATAAAGCAAAACCTGGGAATCCAAAGTATGAATTGTAGAAAAAGAAACTTGAAAAGAGCAATGTTTAATGCAGCTACAACTGTCTCTCAGTGAAATACATTATGAAGGCCCATTTCCCTATAGAAAAAAAGAAAACCTGTAATGAATGTATCATATCCTTTAAGACAGTCCAACAGTCACTTAAATATAATGTTCGGATAATCCAAGCAACTTTGTTCTTAACCAAATCTCCTAAAATAGATTTCTCCTATTAGCAAGGGAGCATGCTCATTCAGGATCATGAGTATAGTCCCTTTGGCCATCTTAGCTCTCATATGTATTAACAGGCGCTCTGGTTTCCAAATCAAGCCTCATGTGAATTTAATGGGTATGAAGCAGTTCTTTGGTGACCGATAACCTAGTAGATGAGATCACAAGTGCTAATTTAAAATGCCTACTACAGTGCCCACTACATAGAAAGCTCTCTAGGATTTGTTTTCCTTCCTTCCCTTGCAACTCTGTAATAAAAAACACAAATCTATAGCCCAAAAGAATTGCACAAGACAAGGATGATCTGTTGTTGATACCTTAAATATTTAATAATTTATTGTAAAAGCATTTTGTATACCACTATTACAAATACTGAATATGGTTTTATGAAAGTTATAATTTTATAACAAAAATATTTCCTAAATACCAAGGCAATCCACCTGTTTTCTTCTTAATCTCAGTATAACAGCTAATATTAGGGTTAGAATTTAACCCTAGCAGACATGAAAATTTGGTCTCTTGGTTTATTTTTTATTTATTTATTTTTTTGAGACAGAGTCTTGCTCTGCTGCCCAGGCTAGAGTGCAGTGGCTTGATCTTGGCTCACTGCAAGCTCCGCCTCCTGGGTTCATGCCATTCTCCTGCCTTAGCCTCCCAAGTAGCTGGGACTACAGGTGCCCGCCACCACACCTGGCTAATTTTTTTTTTTTTTTGTATTTTTAGTAGAGACGGGGTTTCACTGTGTTAGCCAGGATGATCTCGATCTCCTGACCTCGTGATCTACCCGCCTTGGCCTCCCAAAGTGCTGGGATTACAGGTGTGAGTCACTGCGCCTGGCGGGTCTCTTGGTTTATAAATATAGTCAGATACATAGGAACATTGACTGGCATTTCCATGTCAAGAAACATGGTCATATGTACAGCCAAGACACGGACAACCAACAAGTTTTAAAGAAATGTACACATCTCTAGTTACAAATTCTAACCAGAATTACTACAGGAGAGCTGGCAAATGACAACCACCAATACATACATTTCTACACTCCTGAAAAAGACAACATCAAAAAACATTAAGAAATTTGGCATCAGGTGGACAACATCTAGGTTTTGGGGCTAATATACTGATTCATACATTGTACAAAGTTTCATCATTGCCCCCAACCTTGGAATTTCAGAGTGAGAGTGTATACAAAACAATTGCTTTGTCCCTTTTTTCGTATTAGAGCTCTTATATTTTCTTAACTCTTACAGTCTTCTAGAATGATCTGTCAGATTTTTACTCAACACTGGGTCAGATCTCTTCTATACATGACCTCATCCTTCTCATGTCTCCTCTGTTTGCAGAGAGCCGGTCAAAGTCTTGGAGGTGGAAACGAACTGCCAACTGATTAACCATTTTCCTTAAGGTGAGAAATGCTGCAACAACTTGGAAAGCAAGGAAGAGAGTGAAGATGATATGTATCGCTTTTTCCAAGGGCAGATTTGTTAGGCCTTCATTAAAGAGCAAGAAAAGAATTAAAGGTAACTGCAATAGAAGGCTCAGAAGCCAAAAGCCAGCCAACTCAGGAACCTGCAATGACACATATCAAGAGTAATAAAAATCAGTAAAATATAGTTTTTGTTTATACAGGTAAGTACTTATCACTACTGTGAACCTACATTATGGGCTCTGTGAGTGATTCCGAAGGAGGATGACATGGTCCTTGTCCTCAGAGAACTTACAGTCTAGATGAGAAAACTAATTTATGTAAAACAATCCTAGAATACTACACTTTAGTGAACAATTAAGGGCAATATTTAGAAGTACAGACTAAATTCTACAAGAAATAAGAGAGTGATTAGGGTACGTGAAAGAAAGACCTCAGGGATGTAGGCTTTTAAAGTTCTGGAGGAGGAAGAGGCAAAAAGGTAAGTAAGCAAACACGTGAAACTAGCATGATTGGGAATCAGCACATCAGCCTGGAATGGATGGCTGAGTGAGAAAACAGCAAAACCTACAGTAAGACAGGCTGGGTGGGGCCTTATTATGAAGGGCCTAGAAAACCACAGGAATCTCTAGGCATTATCCCTACACTCTGGTAACCATAAATGCTTAGGTAGCATGATGATGCAGAAAACATGGGCCTGGCGTAGGAAACGAATTCATAATTTTCCCCCGTTTTCTTATTCAGGATCCAAATACACATGTTTAAGTAACCATGTATTTTCAAGACTGATGAGAAGAGGGAAAATATCAATTTTAAGTGTTTACCACATTCATATGCTTTACATAAATCATTTCACTTAATCACAACAAACCTGTGAAGTAAATATTATTTTCCTCATTTTATATATGAGGAAACCAGGGCTCAAGAGATTAAGCAAACAGACCACAGTGACAGAAGTGGTAAAGCTGGAGTCAGGCTTTAAATTCAGGCCTGTGCTCTTTCTGCCACACCTCACTGCCTTTTACTTGTTATGAAAGCTGATTTCATTTATATCTATCACTGAGAGAAAGGAAAAAAGAGCTTACCTTCTCCTGCAGGTTACCCATGTAGCCCAGATACAACCGGATGGCTTCAATTAAGGTTATTAGGATGATAACAGTGATCACAATGAATTTGTAGTAATCAGGCAAGATTGAATACTAAAAGAAAGGCCAAAACATGTTTGTAAAATCGCACGTATAGTAACACTGATTTGAGATAGAAAAAAATTATTAAGAACTTTAATTTTATTGACACTCTAACAACGTCAGGGCAGCAAAAGTATTAAAGCTTAGATTTACCTTCATGTGAAGCATCATAATGCTGCTCACCCACCACAGTGGGAAATAGTAGGTATTAAAATAAAGTGACATCTGCAATGCCAAACTGGAGACCATTTCATTTTCTACAGAAGGAATAGAAAAGGAACAAATTATGAAACTTGGTCTATGCCCTATATATATATATCCTATCCCCTAGAATTAATAACTATAATATTGGCTCAGTAAAACACCAAATTTTAAGCCTATTTATAATCATTGACAGTAAAAGGAATAGTCATCCTACTACCAGTTAGGTCAAATATTGGCTATTTGGGGGTATGTTTCATATTTTTCAATTATTTTACCATTTTGCCATTACAGTCTTCTGACTTTTTTGCATATACTACTGGTACAGATTTAATGCAGAATATCAATATAAATCCTATTCAACAGATAATTATCATTGCCTCCTTTGTAGAATTCTATGTAAATAGCATATAAAATTAATGCATAAAATAAATAAAAATGAATCTTTCACATATAAACTAATCTCATACAAAAACGGATTACCAAGATTATATAATTAGACACATCTCTCTTTTCAGCATACCCTAATCTTAGCCATTCTTTAAAGTCCAATTCAGCGTCATCTGTTCCATCAATACTTCCTTCATCAGTTCCCCCACCCCAGCAGAAATACCTTTCCCTTCAGGTACTTATTACTCTAAACTGTCAATAAGAAGTGCTAGCAAATAACCACATTCCCCTCCCCGAAAAACAGTCTGGTGTACTGAACAGATCACGGGCTTCAGAGTTCAAGCAAACCCGAGCTCCCCAAACCTCTGTGACCCTGGATGTCAGACTTGATATAAATTATTTAAGTTCTTTGAGCTTCTATTTCTTCATCTGTAAAATAGTGAAATTAAAACTTCCTTACAGGCTGCTTGTGAGAATTAGAGCCAATATGAATTATTTCTTCCTAGCACTGTGCTGGGCACACTTAGTAGGCACTCAACAAATATTAGTCCCCTTTCCTTCTTCTCTTCTATTTATCTACTTATCTGCAAGCACATACCATGTCCCACCCTAATTTGAGACCCTCATAGAATCTAGCGTCTTGCTTTATACGCAGTGAATATCAAATACACATAAGAATGAATTAATGTAAGCATACTGTCATAAGGACATTACTAGTATAGCCATTTGTGATACATGAGTTCCATTTACCTAAGGTTGATTCCATAACACTTTTTGCTTTTATGTAAGACAGAAGGGTCCTAAATTAAGAATTTGATTTTTAAAATTGAACCCTACAAAATACATCCTAAATTTGACTAAATTCTTAAGAGTGGACACATATATTGAAATCAGTTGTTCTACACGTAAGATTTTAAAGGTCCTAAAATAAATGTCTTAAGAACATTATTTTCTCCTTTTCTCCATAGTTGAGTGTTTTTATCTGTCATTTAATAATTTTAAAATATAAGAAACAGTCATGGTCTCTCACAGCAAAATAGTTTCTTTTAGCTCCAAAAATATGCCTGATTATTATGATCTACTTTTGCTTGCAACTGCTTATTAAATTACCACTGATAAATGAATGAATTCTTAAAATCTGTTAAATCTGAAGACAACTCACCAGCCTAGGATCTTTCTGATAGCAACAGCACAATGCTGTGGACATGGTAATTACATAAATTTGTTATTACAGTACAAATAATCAAACCTACTTCTGATCCACAAAGAAAAAAATACAGGAAAGAATAATAAATTGGGCAAGCAGAATATTTCAGTACCTTTGAGAAGAAACTGTAGTCAAATTTTGCAAAGAACGGTTTTTATGTTAGAAGTATTGTGTTAAAATCTTAAAAGGTTATGCTATGTCCATATTTCAGCAGATCAAACTTATAATCATGGAAATGAAAATCTAATATGTAAATGAACCTTAAAAGCATAAGATATACATTTACTGAATTTTGCAAAAGTTCAAGTTGAGTTCTGTAAATGGAATTTAAATTAAAACATACAATATAAATCAGGGATAGGTAAACAACTGGTCAGCTGCCTAAACATTTTTGTACAGTCAATGAGCTAAAAATGTTTTTTCACCTTTAAATGGTTAAAAAAGTAATATTTTTTTCATACGTGAAATCCATATGAAATACAAATTTCAGTATCCTTAAAGTTTTATTGGAACACAGCCATGCCTATTCAATAACTATTGTCAGTGGCTGCCGTGGAGACCATATGGCCTACAAAGCCTAAAGTATTTACTATCTGGCCCTTTTCAGAAAACGTCTTTTTACCTTGTATTATCAGACGTTAGTGCTCATTAAGCCTCATCCTTGGAACCAGAAACGTGAAACCGATTTTTTTCATATTTTTCTCTGTACATCCTAAATCATAAAGGCCTACATTTGGGGAATAGGCAAGTGATCAAGACGACAAAATGCAGCTTTGGGGACTGCCTTTACTTTTCTCTGTCCGTTTTAAAAATTCTGTAAAACCAAGCAGTAGAAAAGATTTATATTTCCCAGCAGACTTGAATGATGGAAACCACACAGGTTTGGTTGACAGTGTGTTGTCTACCATCATGATGTAGGAGGAGGAACCTGTTCTGGAGGAAACTGCGTTATCACTTGTCATCAAGTTGAAGGATGCAGAGGCATCATGGTATTTTCTTACCTTATGGTAAGAGTTACATATAGGAGAGGAGGAGGAGAAGGCAGGGAAGGGGTGAGTTTTGTTGAACGTCCGGCTACTATGGCACATGCCAGTTGGGAGTGGATGGTGATTTGAAAGGACTCTTTAAAAAAAATTTTTTTGCGTGAACCCGGGAGGCGGAGCTTGCGGTGAGCTGAGATCCGGCCACTGCACTCCAGCCTGGGCGACAGAGCGAGACTCCGTCTCAAGAAGAAAAAAAAAAAAAAAAAAAAAAAAAAAAAAAAAAATTTCCGTAATCTTTTCTGCCAGAAAATGGCCTTGCTTAAGAACATACTTGTTCTGCTAGGAAAAGGGAAAAGGCAAATTTGCTCCCTGGGCGGGGGGTGGGGACAGGGGAGGTGGGATTGCTTGGGCTGTTCTTCGCCATCCTGGACAGAAAAGCCGGGGCGGGCGCCGCAGAGGAAAAGCAAGTTGGGCCTTCGCTCTCGCGGTGCGCGGGGGACTAGCCTGTGCAGCAAGGGCGGCTTTTATCTTTTTATTTTTGGGGTTTCCCAGGAGCAATGATGGGCCTTGCGTGGCACAGAGGTCGGCCCCATCTCAGCTGCCGGGCTTGCACGGAGCAGGCCAGACGCTAGCGCGCCCAGACCAGGCCCAGCCCGGGGCCGGAGGCCGCCAGCGCCTCAGCTCCCCGCCCCGGCCGGCCCCTCCTCCAAGGCTCTGGCCCGTTCTGCGGAGAACTGACTGAAGGCGACATCGCCATTTTAGGTACGGGCAAATTCTGGACGCTCCAAAACCCACGCCAAGCCCTCAGCAGGCCACACCCCCTGCGCCGGCCTCGGTCACTCACCGGGACCCTCACTGTACTCCGGACCGGTCCGATTGGAATCAGTGAACACAGCCCGGCTGAAGTTTCCCAGCCGCTGGCGCACCGGATCTGGCAGCTCCATGCCTGGCCCTCGGTATCCCTCGCCCCCTCAGATACAGGCTAGTCTGCGGGCGTTCCGAGGCTCCGTGGTTCTCATGGCAACCGGCCGGCGCGAGGCCGGCGAGATCCGGGAGCGCGCGGGGGTGCCCGGCTGGGCCGGGTCTCGTCGGGAGCCCGCGCAACCTTGAAGGGACCGGCGTACTCAGAGCGCGTTCCAGGCCCCGGGAGCCGCGCGCCTCGGCCAAAACGTGTCCAAAACGGCAGGTTTCTTAGTTCTGCTTTGAGCCCGACTATCCTAAAAACAAACCTATACTAAGAAATGAGCTGGGGTTGGACTGCGATACAAGGAGCCCTCATATCTTGCCAGTGAAACTGTAAATCGGTACAACCTTTCTGGAGGGAAATAGAGAATGAATGCAGAGCTTAAAGAATGTCTAGAGGTGTAGGGGTGTGTGTGAGAGAGAGATACTATGACTGATTATTTTTTAATAAGAAAATAGAGCAATGGGCAACTGATTAAATGTACTGGAGCATATGCATTCAATGGAGTATGTTTCAGCTGCCTATAAAATGCTTGCAAAGAATATTGAATGATATAGGTTATGTAAAAATAAAGCAGAAATAAAACTAAATGAGAATGAACCTAATTTAGCAAAATTTATGTGTATGGGTGGAGGGGAGGAGAGAACATGTGCACACTGACTTCAAAAAAAACTGGAAAAAAAAATTAACAGTAGTTATCACTGGATAGTGGGATTGTAGGTGATTCAAAAATTTTTAAACACTTCTGTATTTTCTAGCTTTCTCTCTAAGATATATTACTTAAATAAAACTAAGTAATATACATACAGAAAAATTGTATACCATTTGTAAGTAATAAACCTATAGATATATTACTTAAAAAAAACTAAGTGTAATATACATACATAGACAAACTGAAATCTGCATGTCTAGTCAGCACCCTGTTCAAGAAACGTTACAATATTCCCAGAAACTCCCCCTTCCTATTTCCTTTCAGTCACTAAACCCCCTCCTCACTCATAACTGACCTTTTCTGAATTCTAACAGCAAAGGAGAGTTTTGCCTTTTTTTTTTTTTAAATCAGAACATTTATTGTGTGACTAATCCAAATATATATATATTTTTAATTTGAGACAGAGTCTTGCTCTATCGCCCAGGCTGGAGTGCAATGGCACAATCTCGGCTCACTGCAGCCTCCGCCTCCCGGGTTCAAGCGATTCTTCTGCCTCAGCCTACCGAGTAGCTGGGATTATAGGCGCCCGCCACCACACTCGGTTAATTATTGTGTTTTTAGTAGAGACAGGGTTTCGCCACGTTTGCCAGGATGGTCTTGAACTCCTGCTGCAACAACTGTTCTCTTGGGTTTAGGTGGCGTTCCTTCAGAAAAGCCATGCCTTAACCTGCTGTACACAATTTTTAGGTGCCTCATTCGACCAGTCTCGTTGGTATTTTGTTTTTTAGCCGCGGCACTCCAATTATACTTTGTCTTGGCTTGGGAGCCGAGCAGCATTTGCCACAGGCAAACTTTTGAAGGAGGTAGATCTTAGAGTCACAAGGCAGCACTAGCTGTGCATCTTATTGCACCACTTTCTAGATGTGACACTCCCTTTGTCATCTTGCTTCTCAGTTTTGCATATTTATATAAAAGCAATCGTACTGTAAATACTTTTTAAAAATAAAAAACTGGCTTTGTCTTCAACATTACTTTCATGAAATTCCTTCATATCATTGAGTGTAGATTCTTTTGCCTTGCTCTGTGTGATCATACCACAATAAGCTTACTCATTCTACTGTTGATGAGTGTCTGTATTTTCTAGTTTGCAGCTGTTATGAATAGTGCTGCTTTGGTGAAAAGATGCCTCTTGGTGAACATATGCATGCATTTTTGTTGAGTGTGTATCGAGAGTGGAATTGCCATGTCATAGGATACGAAAGACCCAGCTTTAGTAGAGGCTGCCAACAGTTTTCCAAAGTGATCGAACCAATTCCTGCTGCCTCCAGCAATGTATGAATATTTCCATTACTCCATATACTTCACCAACACTTGTTATTTGTTATCCTTTCCTTTTAGCCCTTCTGATGGGTGTGTGGTAAAAGTATTATTTTTACAATCAAAAGGAAAATTACACATTTATATAAATGCAAGAAGAAGATATGGGTGGAAATAAATTCATGACTAGAATTTTAAAATAATTACATAAACGTTTGTTGCGTTCCTACTGTGTTTTTGGGTATTGTGCTAGGCTAATTAGGGATATGGTCCCTCTTCATCAAGAAGCACAGCTCAGTGAAAGAGTGAGAGATATGGAAAGAAGTAAGTGCAAACACTGTTATTATGAGTGCTCTATTAAAGGACCACTGATGAAGAACCAATTAATTCGGGTTGAAGATGTCAGGGAAAAGCTGGTTAATTTCTGCTTCATTTCAAGATGGAGCTCAGACCTGAGAATCTCCAAAAAGGCTTCTAGGACCTTCCTGAAGTAGCTTAGGTGCTCTCTTCCGTGTTTCCCAAAGTATCTTCCTGTTGTTTCTTTGGTCACAGTGCTGGTCACTCTATACTAAAATTGTCTGTTTATGTGTCTGCGTCTCTTGCTAGTCCTTAAGCTCTTAGAGGTCAAGAAGGGACTTTCATCTTTATATCCCCAACACTAGCACAGTGTGGTACCTGGCCAAGAGGAGGAGCTGGATGACCGTTGAGTGAGTAAAACGAAGAAAAAGCCTAATAACCACTCTCTTGTCTTCCCTTTCTAGTTCAAGGACTTAGCCAGCCCTGTATAAGGTTCACTTTGTAGAATGGTGAATTGGTGTATTAAAACATAGTGAATTTATAACAATTTAAAAAACCTTAGCAACAGAGAATCACTTCTCATCTATCAAATGAACCGAGGTTTTTTTAATAAAGGGAACAGTGAAGCAGGAGGCCTCAGGCTCAGCTGATTGAATTATAATTTGGCCAACTGCATTGAGACAAGCAATTGGCAATATATAGAAATAGCCTTTAGACTGGGCCTGGTGGCTCATGCCTATAATCCCAGCACTTTGGGAGGCTGAGGTGGGCAGATCACCAGGTCAGGAGATCGAGACCATCCTGGCTAACATGGTGAAACCCCGTCTCTACTGAAAATACAAAAAACTAGCCAAGCGAGGTGGCGGGTGCTCGTAGTCCCAGCTACTTGGGAGGCTGAGGCAGGAGAATGGCGTAAACCCGGGAGGCGGAGCTTGCAGTGAGCTGAGATCCAGCCACTGCACTCCAGCCTGGGCGACAGAGCGAGACTCCCTCTCAAAAAAAAAAAAAAAAAAAAAATTAGCTGGGTGTGGTGGTGGGCGCCTGTAGTCCCAGCTACTTGGGAGGCTGAGGCAGGAGAATGGCAGGAGGAGGAGCTTGCAGTGAGCCGAGATCGTACCACTGCACTCCAGCCTGGACCACAGAGTGAGAATCAGTCTCAAAAAAAAAAAAAAAAAAAGCCTTTAAAACATTCCTGCCTCCTTTAATACAATAATTTAAATCTCAAGACTCTGGGGAAAATAATCATAGAAACAAAGTTTTATACACCAAATGCTTCTCCAACATTATTGATAATTGTTTAGAAAGGAGAGAGGCGAGTGGGCATTTGAAGTGCCCAACCACAGGGCCTGGTTAAGCAGATTATGATATTTATGGCGAGGTGTTGGGCTGCAGTAGAGAGAATGTCCTTGGAAGCTGAGAGGACAGGGTTCAAATACCCTAAAATTCCCAATGTACCATTTAAGAGCTATGTGACTGATTTCAGATACTTGTTTTGTAAAGTAAGAATAATAATATCTTACTGTTGTGGTTGATGTGAATATTATATCATTAAGGCTCTCTATACATGATAGCTACCATTTACACATCAATTAAAGTGAAGTTTATGAAGAAGCAACACCTAGAGTGGAGTCAAATAATGCTGGTATTTAATTTTGTGAATTCTACTGGACCTGCTAGGTAATACCTCTATTGCTTTCCTAATAAAGACAGTAGAGGCAATTAAGCATTAAAGCAGTCCATTATGTTAACCAAAAACCTATGTGAATTCTTATCAAAACCCTAAGTGAATTATTTTAAATATATTTTCCCCCAGCATTGAGAAAAGATGTAAGATACCTTCTTCAGATTGTAATTATTTTATCAAAATCCTGGAGGAAAAAAAATTGATAGAATTATGGGTATTTTTCCTTCTAATTTTATTATTCAAATTTCCTATATGAGCATACATTTTCTAGTTAGAAAAAAATCTTGTTAAAAATAAATTGAGAGGAAGAGGCAATGATGATGCAAAAACATTAGAGAAGATAATTTGAGAGGAAAAAAATGTGGTTTGGAATGAGTCCTACCATTACTGATGTATCATAAATGGTCCAAGGGGCTCAAAAAAACTTTCCAAATGTTACCTTTATTAGTTGATGCTCCCAATATTTATAGGCAATTACATTAGAAATACTAAGGGAGATCCTTCAGTGTTTCACTAATGTGATTGGCTATACAGGAAGGGATCGACATTCATGAACAATGAAGACTAATATGATTTGGGTTTCCCATCTTCTAGATGTACTACTTATTAGGATCTAAAGAAAGAAGTATGGGCTGGGCACAGTGGCTCACACCTGCAATCCCAACACTTTGGGAGGCCAAGGTGGGCTGATCACAAGGTCAGGAGTTCAAGACCAACCTGGCCAATATGGTGAAACCCCGTGTATACTAAAAATACAAAAATTAGCCGGGTATGGTGATGGGCCCCTGTAGTCCCAGCTACTCGAGAGGCTGAGGCAGGAGAATCGCTTGAACCCGGGAGGCAGAGGTTGCAGTGAGCTGAGATTGTGCCACTGTACTTCAGCCTGGGTGACAGAGTGAGGCTCCATCTCAAGAAAAAAAAAAAGTATGGAATCTCTGTACTTAAAGTCACAGGAATCATTTTAGGTTAATGCATAGTCCCATAAAGTTTAAACTGCTTAGTTCTTATACCAGTGTTGATGTTCAGAGTAATAGCTGTTTCTACAATAGTTGTTTAATGTATTTCTTGGGGTTTAATTACATTTATCATTTGCTTATTTGTTTTCACAAACATTTTGAGACTGATGCAATGATTAGCTTCCCTTTGATAAGGGACCATGTTGTCTGGTAATAATGTATTATCTTACACGACAAGAAACTGATTTGCGGGAGTTATTTATTTATTTATTGAGGTAGGGTCTCACTCTGTTACCCAGGCTGGAGTGCAGTGGTGCAATTATAGCTCACTGTAGCCTCAACCTCCTGAGCTCAAGTGATCCACCCACTTCAGTCTCTCTAATAGCTGGGACTACTGGGGTATGCCACCACGTCCAGCTAATTTTTTTTTAAATTTTGTAGTGACAAGGTCTCCCTATGTTGCCTAGGCTGATCCTCCCACCTCAGCCACTCAAAGTGCCAGGATTATAGGCATGAGCCACCACACCTGACCTGACTTATTTAAATTTCTCCTAGGCATAAAAAAATTCTTTCCATTTGATACTAATAAAGAGTTTAGAAATATTTTTAAGTAAATATGTCATTCAGTTTATTGCTTTAAAATGAACTGAGAGACATTTCTCAGAATCTAGATAAATTTAAAAGATAAATTATA